CCCCCCCCCGGTGTTTGCCATCGGGGTTGGGTTTCCGTCGCTTGGCAACGATGTTGTAAAACAAGCCACCCCCCCCGACGTTTGCCATCGGGATCGCGTTTTCGTCGCTTGGCAACGACGTTGTAAAACAAGCCAATTCACTTCGTGAGCTCGGCAGCCAGGTTAACCGTGTCAAGTGTTCAACGAGTACGCACAGAACATGGTACTGGGTAGAGCGAACGGAACGGTTTATAGTATGAAGGCAGCAGCAGCAACAACAACAACACCAGCAGAAAAAGCGGCGACATTGCGAAGAAGGACAGCGTTGCATGCATGCAGTTTGGGCGTCCTCTTCTCCGTGGAGTACATAGCCGAGCTTCGAATATCGGTCCAGGGGGGTTTGGTATCGTGCGTCACATTCGGTATCGCAGAAGTCCGGGTTAGAGGTGGAGCTTTTGGTGAGTGTGTGTTACCAACGCGGCGAAATCGCCATCGTTTCGGAGAGATTCGATTGCCGATTGGTGTGGTGATCGTCGGAATCCTGGGTACGGTGCACCTCGTGGATTTCTCCAGGTATCATCGGTAGTTACGATGGTGGTCCTGATACATCGCGGTCCCCAATAACGCGGTTCAGGATACATCGCGGTGACAGTTCCTTGGAACAACAACCTAGCCAACCAACTACTTCTTCAAGGACCTTCCCCCAATAGCGCGGGTCCTGATGTAACGCGGCGATATTTGTCCGTCACTACACCATGACATGATGGGGACAACTGTTGTTGTTGCCTGAGGCATGTTATTCACGCTCTCAGAAAAAATGAAGAAGGGCATTCCGGCCATATTGACAAAACCGGAGATTGAGAATCGCTCGTGTTTGCGCCGTTTGACTAAACGATTCAGGCAAAACGTAGTAATGGCGAGAGGTAGTCAAGGCGATGGCGAGGCTAGTGACGGTGCCGGGGTTGGTTTCAGAAAGTTGTTAGGGGTAATATAGCCAAGGTAGCGGCATTAACGTGCGGGGTGTTGAATCACACGCCGCTTGCCTGTTGCGGGCTTCGATGGCCGCGTCAGCCACCCGGCGGCTCTGAATCGCAAGTAAACACGTCTCGGTGGATTGGAGATGTGCGACATGTGTTGACGCCCCCAGCTATCTTTTTCCCGCCCCTTCTTCGTCCTCTTTTTATCAACACGTCACCGGCGTCCACAGAAACTTTTGCTTTTTTTGTGGTTCTCAGGGAGGGAGTGTTGGCCACAACGCGTCTTCACTTCAAGGGCGAGACGGTGGGCCACCGACCCTCTCACCTCTCTCTACCCCCCCCCACCATGAACCTAGACGGAGAAAGTATGCCTGTTCAGTTTTTGGGAGGACGTGTTGGCCACAGACCCGCTTCCCTCTCGCTAGCCCCCCCTCACCATGACCCTAGGCGGAGATAAAACGTCTACTTCTACGGAGTGTTTGACCACAGAGCCCCTCCCCCGCCAACCCTTCCCCCAGGCGGAAAGAAAACGCCTCGCAATTCAAGGGCGAGAGGGTTGACCACCGACCCCCCTGCCCTCTCCACCCCCCCCGACCGCGAACAAAGGCGGAGAGAAAGACGCCTCTTCATTTATAGGGAGGGCGTGTTGGCCACATACCCCCCTCCCACCATGAACCATGGCGGAGAGAAAGACGCGTCTTTAATTCTACGGAGTGTTTGACCACAGGCCCCCTCCCCCCGCCATCCATGATGAGCCCAGGCGGAGAGAAAACGCCTATTCGTTTCTAGGGAGGGAGTGTCGGCCTCGGAATTGGAGTCCGAGGTTGTGGCGCTAGAGATCGGGGGTCAGTTTCTGTTCGACATGGCGGACCACCGTGACTTCCTCGGGGCCATCGTCAATCTCGGGGTCACGAGAGACGGGGTGAGTTTGTTTTTTTTTTTCATTTTTTTGGACTTTTTGCTTTTTCCGTCTCAACAAGCCTGTTTCTTGTTTGCCGTTTTAGTGTGCTTTCTTTCTGTCGTCCGCGAAAACGTTTTTTTTTTGTCTTGCTTTCCGTTGTGTGTGTGTGTGCTTGTTTTCGTTGATTTTTCGGAATTTTTTGTCCGCAAAGATTTTCATAACGGATGGAGAAGTCAGTCTGATCACCTGTGCTCGGCGATTTCTCTCCCCTGAGGGTGCACGGAACAACGGGTGCTGATGTTACGGCCTACAGTACTATCGGTTTCCATTTCTATAGATTGTACGGTTGTTTCGCACCTTATGTTCTTTTCTTTTTTTTCATTTCGACCTTTTCAAGCTAACTTGTGGGAGTTCCTGGTGGATCGTTCCAAAGAAAAATGCGGCTGCTGCTGCTCTGGCGACGGCGGTGGTTGTTGCAACTTAGCGGGGACCTCGTCGATATCGCCTTTTCCCGAAATGTCTACCCCTCAGTCGCCCCTTCGCGCGTTGTGACACTTTCCCTTGTATCACCGCTTTTTATGGCAGCACAATGCTGCAAAAAAAGCTGCATTTCTGCAACTTTTCTTGCATCTTTGCTAGTGTACGCTCAGTATGGGAGCTAAAAGTTGCACAAAACGTTCTGCAATTGTTTTCTGGAGCGAAAAGCTGCAACCTGGCCGAAAAGTTTTCCAGCTTTTCTAGAGTCGGGAAGGGGCGAGAAAAGCTGCACGGCGGACTAAACCGGTTCACGTCATCAAGCTGCTACCCCTACCGCACACGTAGACCCTGTCCAGCATCGATTGTGGGAAGGCTTTGATCACCGATATCTCGACGAATACTTAACGAGTTGCTTCATGAATGGTATCTGGAAGGAGGGGATGCTATGGGCTATTGGGCAATGCCAAGGTTTGGGGCCGTGAGGTGCCGAATGCGCCGGGAAAAAAGTTTGTGCTGTGCACCACCGTCAACGGCAGCGAGCGGTTAGTTCAAGCTCGATGTTTTTGATCGCCTCGGGTTTGGTGATCCACCGAAAACTTTCCGAAGGAGGAAGCAACAGCAATAGCAAGGCCGCTCGGTCTGAGGTAGCTCTCTGCTCCATCTTTCATGCCCAAAGTTTGGTGCCGTGGGGTATCGTGCGCATCGGGAGAAAGTTTTTGATCGACCCCAAAGTACCCGCGTCAGAGATCGGTTGGTTGAACTTCGCAGGGATTTTATGCGCATGGTTTGGTTTTCCAGCGATAAAATTTCGAAGGAGAAGGCAATCGCAACAGCAATTCCACCTCGAGGAAGCTAGCTCTACCCAGCACCTTTCTGGCACAGGTTAGACGCCTTGGGGTATCGTGAGTGTGGAGAAAGAAGTTTGCAAATACCCTCTCCCGCACGTTTTGACCGGTTCTTTCGCGGTACAATATGAAAGTGCCTTCTCTCCGTTGCCAAAAAGAAAGAAAAAGATCACGCCTCTGCATTCCGCCAGTCCCGTGCACAAGACTGTCTTCGTCCCATAAAGCGCGCGCATCAAAAATCTCATTGACAAAGTTTGGAAGAAAAGCTGCAGGACAAGTGTGCAGCTTTTCTTTCGACATTGTACTGCCATAAAAAGCGGTGTAACAGATCTGAGTGTCATCTAAAATCGCCTGTCTTGGAACACTTGGACTTCTTCGTCGTCCCCCTCGGAACTCAGCTCTCTTTTGAATTTGTCATGTCGGAGCGCCATATCGAAATCGCCTGTCGTCGAACACTTGGCCGGCCCCGTAGTCGCCCGTCTCTCGCATTTCTACTCGCCCTCTGTCTCTGTCTCTTTCTCACTCTCTCCCTCCCTCCCTCCCTCCCTACCTCCCTCTCGCTCGTTAAGATCGGAGACATCCTCGTCCAGGGCGAGCGGGGGGCGCACGTGCTAGTCGACCCCGTGATGGCCGAATTCCTGGCCGGGAGTCTCACCAGCGTCAGGAGCGTCAAGGTTAAGGTCCGGCCGATCCCACTGGAAGAGCTCGCCGTCCGACCGGCGAAGACGAAGGACGTAAGACCAGCAGCAGCCTCCTCCCCCTTTTAGCTTATCCCTCTAGCCTTGACTGGAACAAATAACATGTACCTGATACACGGGTTAAAAGGGAATCCGTACTGTCTTTCATTCGCAGTTAGACAGTATTGTTACTACATACCAACAACCGTCTCGATATACTTCAAGTATGTCCACAGTCCAATGGGGGCGTTGAAAGAGAAAATAGTGAAGGCCTGAATACTTGGCATGTTTAGAGTCTGTTGAAGCCTTTAAGACAAATTGTTTTCGGTGTTAGGTTTTGGTAGGATTTGTTCCATCCCCCCCCCGCAGTTTTTTTTTTTGGCGGTAACCATAATGGTGGTCGAGTAGATCGTGTTGTGCGGGGTGAGCCCTCACTCCGCGCAAGGGGGATGATCGCACCACGTTGTGTTAAATAAGCACCCTCCAGGCAGTTACACAGTGCTTACAACTGTCTCTGGAAGTGAAAGCACCAGAAATTAAACTAATTCATACGCAGCTGTCATCCGTACGCAAGGAAGTAAGCACAAGATGCCGAAAACCCTTAGCAGGATGCAGCGCACCCTTCNATCGGGGTTGGGTTTTCGTCGCTTGGCAACGACGTTGTAAAACAAGTCCCCCCGTCGGTGTGTGCCAGCGGGATTGGGTTGTCGTCGCTTGGCAACGACGTCGTCAAACAAGCCAATTCACTTCGTGAACTCGGCAACCAGGTCACCGTTTGTTTGTTTTTTTACCTCTGTTTTTGTTTTTTGGCGGTCACCATAATGGTGGTCGAGTAGATCATGTTGTGCGGGGTCGAGAACCCTCACTCCGCGCAAGGGGGGTGGTCGCACCACGTTGTGTTAAAATGGTCAAGCACCCTCCAGGCACTTACACAGTGCTTACAACTGTCTCCGTCGAAGCCGGCGTGCTCGGCTTTGTAGGGATGCGAGGTCAATGGTCTAACGACTACGGCATGCACGACTATGAGTACACCCCCTCCCCCCCCGCCACAAAGGAAGACGTGCATCCACGGAGCCCCTCCCCCCCACGAACATCCCGCCCTCTTCCTCTAGGTGAGCACCGTCGAGGCGTCCCTCCGCCTGGACTCCGTAGCGAGTGCCGGCATGGGCATGAGCCGCAGCAAGATGTCGGCGGCTATCAAGAGCGGCTTGGTGCTTGTCAACTGGAAAGCTGCCGGTTCGGGCACGACGGATGTACGTTTTTTTTTTTTTGTGCCTTGTCACAGACAACATCATCTTGTGGAATCGACCGACATTACTCGCGACTGGTATGTAACGAGGGACAATAATTTCAACGCATTTGCGCCACGAGGTTGCTAAGTCGTCGTATGTTGTACTACCACCACCACTTGCACGTCCCGGCGGTTTACCGTATTCTTTGCGCCGGCTCTGGCACAATATCTACGACAGGACCGCCTTCGCGAGACATTAAGTTCAGCGAGGAAGTATAACAAGAGGAGGGGTATTGTGCGCATACTCTATGCCCTAACCCTAGCCCTAACCCGACTTCCCCGATTGTGTGCTTTATCCGGCATGTTTTGATAGTACAGTGGCGCGGCTTTACGGTTAAAGGGAGGGTTGAGACAAGCCGGTATTTCTCTCGCAAATCAGGTTTTTCTCTTGAATCGTGCTGTGAAGTGTATGTATGTCTCATGATCGTGACAAGGAAGTTTGGCTCGCTTTACTCGATACTTTATCTTACATTGTCTCTCTTAAGCCGTAGCGCTAGTTGGTGTGTACACAGACGGAAAAGCGTGCTGATTTCTTCTCGCTTTAAAAAATAATCGACGGCAACGTACCAAGGAGAGGGTAGAAAGGGGCCCTTCTGTGTGACCATGGGTTGGAGTAAACAGCACTAGTGCTGTGAACGCTGATTTGAAGTGAAGACAAAAAAAAAAAACGTAGCCGCCACTGTAAGCCTGCAAAGGCTACTGCTACCGTCTGTTGTTGGAACCGCTCCGTGACTGCTGTGCGAGTAAACGCGCTCCCCGTGGGCCCACTCCCATGGCGTGTATTCGTCGACACCAAATAGAGAGCGAATGTTCGCCGATTACGTCTGTTTTTGCCTTAACCCTAACCCTAACCCAATCCCTAGCCCAGTGCGACTATTTTTTGCTTGCCGAGACGTGTGTCTTCCCTTTTTCTTAGGTGTATGCGCGTGTTCGTGTGCGTGTTCTTTTTGTACATGGGGTGTTTGAATGGCATCGACCGCGCTAACCGGGTGACCAACGAGAAATCGTCAGTCTCCGTGCGGCTGAAAACAGGAAGTCATTCCACTCTAAAGGCCATGCCTTGGGACCCCGTAAGGATGTGTATGTCTTGGTGGTCGTGCGCGTTTTTTCTGCTATTTTATTGGTATCGACCGCGCTTACAGGCTGACCAACGAAAATACGTCAGTATCAGGGCGGCTGAAAACAGAAAATGCTTCCATCGGCCATGATCTGAAACCCCGCGAGGGGGTGTCGTGGGGGAGGTTTAAGCCAATCTCCGGAGTTTAGACAACCCGTGGTTTGTGTCTTTTATCCCGATCAGGTGAAGGAGGGCGACGTCGTGACCGTTAGGGGAAAAGGGCGGGTCGAGATCGGGGACATCACCGTCACCAAGAAGGGACGCTACAAGATCAACATGCGCCGTACCACTTGAGTTACAAGTGGTCGTCCACCGATTGGGATTCGTTGCGGTGTGCGCCACCTCTAGTGCGTGGATGCAGTTAGCGGCAGCACGTTTCGGGGTGCTGTGGTTGGCTTGTGACCACGGAAGGCGTCCGCTTCAGTAGGACCTGCACGGACATTAGAAAGTACTGAGCGGAGACCGGAACGTTTTTCTACGGCAGAGAGCAACAACAACAACAACAACAACAACAACAACGTGAGGAACTCTGGTTTGGCCAGCAGCTGGGGTTGTAAGATCCTAGGGCTGTTCTACAAATGGCCGCTATACACGTATTGGTGGTTTCCAACCGCGCTTACGAATGGTGCGCATGTTCTTAGATATATATATATATATATATTTTTTTTTAGATATTGATTTTCAAGTTGCTGCCAAGCTCTTTTTGGATGGTGACCTTGGGCATCACTACCGATTTGCTATTAAAACCTTGGGACAGGATGTGTTCCAGAGTACGTGGCAGCGCCGAAAATGGCAACGTTGGAATCGTCGCGTCAAGGTCGTTCGGTCCATCGTTTGATGTATGCACCCTCTTGGTCGTGGGGTGTTCGTCCAGGGGTGTGTGGTATCTTGCGCCACCGGCGTATCGTGACTCCTGCATGCAACGGCTAACTTGTGCGGGTGTCGTGGGCACGGTGGGCAGAAAATAGGTTTTACCGTGAACCGTTGCCTAAAACGAGCGTTGGGTTGAGCCCGTTGTTTGGAGATGCCCTGCGCAGGCTTTGGACGAAGGCTTAGATTTCGGACATGTGTTCCATGTTTTGTGTTCGGCGGGCAAGGCTTTTTGGTGTCAAGGATAGAGTGAAGTGTGGCTGTATTCTACATGGCGCGTGAGGGTCGCACACGCGTCATATACGGTGAATAGAGCAGCAGTTGAATATCGTTGCAAACCGCGGGGTAGGTGTGTACGCAGCCGCCAGAGAGGTTCCAGTGCAACGTTGAGCGCCAGACTCGACATGGGCACCTCTCACTGCCTGGACAAGTGCAGAAGCTCATCTCTCGCCTTCCATACCAGGGTACGTGGGTGTGAAAACATGCCCTTGACGGCCTACAGCGGTACATGGAAACTTCTGGCTGTAGAGGCAGAGGATATTACGGACGCTCGGGTTAGGCATTGGTTTGGAGATGAGGGAACGACCAACCATCAAACTCACCGCGCCCCATCACATACGTTCTGCGCATTCCGAGAGGGCAAGCAAAAACACGTTTTTCGCCCCTTAGTACGAGAGTCTCCAGTCCATCATCACGTGGCGTCGTCGGAGTTCCCGCATGCCCGCACGGACCGCACCCTCCGTGCTGCCTCTCCAGAGTGTTTATCGTTTGTCGTCGAGAGCCTGCTGCGCGCTGCTCAGAGACACCGCGCTGTTTTCCCCGAAATCCTTTGAGTGTCGGCCGCAAGAATAATACTGACAAAAGGTTCACGGTACGAGCAACGGATGAGTCCCACATACCAACCTCTCGAATTTCACAGCTGGTGGAGGCACCATAAGCTTGGCTGGGACGGTCTCGTTTCCCAATGGCGTGCGATGGGGTTGATCACTTCCGTGAGTGTATCGAGCTGTGTATCGCGTTTCGGGGGTTGATAGCTAAGCCGCCGTTGACCTGCCCAGGCTTCTCAGATGACCACCGCATGGGAGTGAATTGTTTTCGATTTTTCCGCATGCAACTTCCATAGGCATCTTCTCTGCTAGATACTGTAGCCCAATACAGGGGAGCTCGCAGTAGTGCAGCTGGGCTAAGCATCCGTTGAGAGCTACACATTCTTGTTACTGTTTTATAATCGCTCATTGCGGAGAGTTGCCATGGAACCATGCGCACCTGGGCATCCGTGTCATTCGTCAACCTGCATCTTCGAATCTATGGGTATGTTACGAGACGCGGAATGCAGGATCCCGAGCAGAAGGATAGGAGGACGGGTGATGCGGTTGTGTCTAGACAGGTCTTGTACGTTTTTCAATGCCCAATCGGACGAGGCTATTGCAAACGACACTGCCTGGCACTCGCATCTCACTGTATCGAGCAGATGTAGCTAGAGAACGTCCACCGTAATCACCGCCAGGCAGACAGAACGGAGCTGGCTTAAAGAGGACACACGGTCGATCAGGATGAGAGAGGTAGCGGTTGAGCGCGGTCGCGTGAGACCGCAGTCGGAGGGTTTCGCCTTTCGCGAGAGGCGGCGCAGTCACTCTTGATGTGGAAATGCACGGAATGGTGTCATGAAACGTTGCCCAACTCCACACAGACCACACAGACCGCGACAGGGCGGGCGGGCTGTCATCAACGACAAGACAAGAGAGCGTTGAGTGTGCGAAGAGATTCTGTCGCCGAGTCTGGGCATACATCCCGACAAAATGCGCAAAATTTGCTCAGTATCAGCAGGGCTGCGGTTTTAACACCGGGTGGTAACACTTCCTGGCGGGTAATTCAGAGGGAAGGGAAAGGGAAACGGTTGTTTGGACGCGTACGTGCCGTAACGTCAATGAAAGCGGGGGAGGATTCGCTTCGATTGTCGCCAAGAGTGGCGAATGGGAGTTGGTCGGAAGCGAAGCGACCTGGGGGAAGAAGTGCGATGGGGATTGGAAGGTTGACTGCACGTGAGCACTAGCCTGACGTAGACCTTGGTTTGGTGTAGTTGCATGGTCGAGTACCATATGGAGACTCGGTCCCGCGTGCGGGAGCAGTCATCGATTTTCACATGCTGGATTAACGGAAAAAATTGAGAGAGAACGAGGCGCGAGGCTTGCGTGTTTCCAGCGCTGATTCCTACACCAATTTCTCTCCGTGTTGGTATCCATTGTGATACTCAAAGCCCAGGTGAAACTTTACAGACCGACCCTTCCATTCGGCACCGCGCTTGACTCCTCGGGATACTGTGGATGCAGGCATCCCGTGCACTCCCATCCCGCACAGACCTTGTCATCGCTTGTCAACACTTTGTCACGATTTAGGAGGGGAGCGAAATATGTTTCATTCGAAATCGTCGTGAAGCGAGAGCTCCTATGTAGAGCACCTACGCCGTGGAACCGTGGCTCTGTTCAACTACATGCCTGGCTGAGCCAATATTACGCACGAGATAACGATATGTGTGTGTTGTTCGTTAGCCTTTCGTTTCTACCAGAAAATCGACAAATGTAGATTCTACACAACAAGGTCGACGGCCATGGGTTGTTGAGTATACCGACGCAGCAAAACCATATCTTGCTCTCCTTATGCTCGTTCCCAGGCTCACCTTGATACCCGCGAATTCTACTGTACAACGGCCAATCAAAGCCCCCGTGCGGTGTACAAACTACTACGCTTTCAAGGTCGCTGACTCCCGCTCCCACCGCGCCGTCGACGAACCAATGAAGCTCATGTGCCCCCGCTCTTCCTCCCCACCCGCTACGGTCAGACAAATCTGCTCTGTGTTAGCCTTGAGACCTTCATCCCTGAGAGGTGGGGATCCTTGCCTGCACGTCCTTTTTGACTGGCCGGTCCAACTCTATTGTCGTAGTTTGAAGCACGGCCAAGAGAATTGACACCTGATTGAAACTATTGATCCAGGCTGTGTCAATGGATCAAGAAGACAGACAGGTCAGCACGCCGAAATCAATAAGCCGTTTCTCGTTCAGAAGGATGGACGGAAAATGTAACTTTACCCCCACGACGACACGCAACGAATGATTCGGCACCGAGGTCATTGCGGGAGCAGAAAGCGACATGTTTTTCATCCAACTTCGTCGTGAAGCGAGATCTCCTTGTAGGGACCCTATGGATCCGTAAGCAATGCCCACCACGCTGCCTCGCCGAAAAGAATTCACGCACGAGATTCTTGAGTGTGTTGTACATCGGTATATCTATCAGTTTCTCCGATATTTTCCACGATTCTACTAAAAACATATGTTCGAATCCTATTGTTTGTGTTCTGCACTAGAATGCGGAAGCCGCCGCTCTCGCTGCTGTAACGAAACTTGGACTGGCAAATCGGTTTTAATATTCCGAGCCGATATTTTCGCAGGTGCCCCACGGGGGGCGTCCGAAAACGGTCTTCGTAGGTAGAATACGCCGAAGAGGATTGGCACCTCACCGAACGCGCGTGGTGCGTGAATGCACCAGGAGGGCCTACCGATGCGTCTCAATTTTTAGCACATCTCTCTTTGAAGAGATTGGACGAAACCACACTCCCAGCTATTGGCAGCGAGTGATTCGGTAGCTTGATTCTGACGATACCGTACGGCGAGCAGATTAATTCACACTCTAGAACATCTGCCTAACTCGTCCCAAAATGGACCATTAGGCTTGTTTTCATTCGACGACGTCTGGAGGCGAAATCTGCTACTATGGCACAATGGGGCACCTACTGTACGTACGCCTGCCACCGTGCTGGACCGATTTCATACATGACCTACATCATATGCTTCTATCATATAGTCTACCGGCTACGACCAGTTCTGTGTGGCTGTTCCCAAATGCTTAAGTTGCTCACTTCAAAGGCACTGCATGTGCGCTCGGTACTAGTGTAGCGGTCGTTGTGTCCGCTCTGATAGTGATAGTTGCACCTCACAATCCTCTGTCTGGTGCCCACAACTTGTGTCCGACTCCGATTTCGCTTCGAGCCTCGTGCGTACTTTACTTCCAGCATGCGTTCTTTTGCCACGGATTGGTGTGTAAGCATCGCAGTTGACGGATTCCGTTCTTGCAAAGTGTTCGAGGGACGAACCTTCTGTTGTTGATTCGAAAATCGTGGTTTTGACCATGACACGCGAACGAAACCCTTTCATCATAACTCACAAGCAGGCATTGAGTGCTCTCGACAGGCCTACGTACGACTGGTGCTGAGACGTTTTTGAAAGTGCTCCGCTCATCGACAACATGGTGTTTATGTACGGCCGGAGTACCTGCAGCACCGGTTTGTCCCCAAGCATCGCGTTACCCCACTACTGTAGCGAGAATCGGCCTTGGTCGTTGCTGAATTGAACATGCCACAACAAATGATCTGACGTAACCTTATTTTGTTGATGATTGTTCACTCTGAATAGGATGACCCGTAGCGAAACGACGACGCCAGCAGAGCTATCAAATATCCCCCGCATATCGCCTGAACGGGAAAGCTCGGGCGGAGCAGCGGTCGAAACTGGCGATTGAGTACTCACCACCGCTTGTTACGTCAATGACTGACTATGTTTATAGTCGAGCCTGTTATCTATCATCCCACGGTGATGAGGCCATCCTGATCAATGATGCTTGTGTGTTGTGTCCGTTGACTGCGAAAAAGAGGCTGACCAATAAGAATATGTTCGATTTAGTTGAAGACGTGCAACATATCGACCAGGCCCTCTCTCTGGGCAACCGACGACCCTTGCTACATTTGGCTTAATCTTGCGGGCGCGTTCCTCGTCTCGTTACGTTGAGGAAAGGTACTGGATATTGCAATACTAAACGTTGTGGATCACGCATTAATTTCAGCACCCGATCCGGCCGAGTACGCTTGGCGTGTAGATAAGGGCTGGGTGTTCGCGGCGCGTGGAGCACACCATTACGAGAGACGTTCTTGTTGAAGACCGTACGGGCGATACTCTTCGACTCGTCGAATTCTGTGCTGAGCCTTGTTTGGTGGATTGCGAAATGGCCCAACTTCTTCCGTTTTCCTCCGCGCGTCATGCCTTTCCATCACCTTTGTATGTCTATGGCGTAAATCACCATGCCATATCTTCTCTTCGTCATACCTCCCCCGCCCCGCGCATGCCCCCCTATGCAGAACGCCAGCCCCGCAACAAGGAGGGACGCATGATCAGGCCGATGCCTCGCTCGTGGGTGGGGATGCCGTCTCGGGTGGCGGTGACGATAGCCGTCTGGGTGCCCTAGGCGAAAAATCAGGCCGTTGCTCCGGCGCCATCAAAGGAGCTGGCAGCCCCAGCGGCACCTACTCTTCGGTGAACACACCGAAACGGAAGGTGGCGCCGAGGCGCATGCTGCCGAGCCGGCAAGCAGTGGTCGCCACACAAGGGAAGAGGGCGAAGTCCCAGCCCTTCGCGATGTCGATAAATGCCCTCGAAGACGGGAAGAACAAGAGAAATGCGTGTCGGAGACGCGTCTTTCTTGCACTTACCGTCGTCGAGGGCGTTTCTTGACATCCGGAGGGTCCGGGACTTTCGCCTCTTCCCCTGTGCGGAGACGACTGCATACCGGCTCGGCAGCATGCGCCTCGGCCTCATGTTGCTATTAGGGGCGTTCCCCGAACAGGAGCTGGCGCTGGTGCCGCTAGTTCTTTTCATGCCGCCGGACCAACCGCCGGATTTCACGCCTAGGTGCCCCAGACGCCTACCATTGCCGCCGCCTGAGGAGGTATCCCCAACCACGAGCGAAGCATCGGCTGGTTCATTCGTTCCTCCTTTCGCATGGGCTGGCGTCCTGCACCGAAGAACATGCGAGGGGCGCGGGTGATATGGTGAAGAGATGTGATGGGAGGCATGGTGATTTACACGATAGACATTAAGGGTGATGTAGAGGCGTGAAGCGATGAGGAAAACGGAAGCAGGAGTCTGACCATTTCATATCCCACCGTACAAGGCGCAGCAGAGCATTCGATGAGTGGAAGGCCCTTCGAGTTGTCCGCATGACCTTGACCAAGAATTTCCCTCCTTATGATTTGTTGCAACCGCACAGAGCACCCAGTCCTTACCTGCGCGCCTAACAACCTCGACAGCCCTTGCTACATTTGGCTTCGTTCGTGCGGGCGCGTTCCTCGTCTCGTTACGTGGAGAGACGCTGCTGATGTTGCAATACTAAAGGTTGTGGCTCACGCGTTAATCTCAGCACCCGATCCGGCCGAGGTCGTTTGGCGTGTAGATATGGGCTGGGTGTGCGCGGCGCCTGGAAAACACCATTACGAGAGACATTCTGGTAGAACCTATCACGGACAGTACTCCTGGACTCGTCGCATGCTTTGCAGTGCCTTGTTTGCTGGAATGCGAAATGGTCAGACTCCTGCTTCCGTTTTCCTCCACACTTCATGCCTGTTCATCACCCTTCAATGTCTATGGCGTGAATCACCATGCCATACCTTCGTTTCTTCATACCTCCGCCGCCCCCGCATGGTCCCCAATGCAGGACGCCAGCCCACGTGAAATGAGGAACAAATCACCCAACCATGGCCTTGCTCGTGGGTGGGGATGCCGTTTCGGGCGGCGGCAATGATAGGCATCTGGGTAACCTAGGCGTGAAATTTGACGGTTGCTCCGGCGCCATCGAAGGAGCTAGCGGCCCCTATAGCACCTCATTTCGGTGAACACACCTGAACGAACGATGTGGCCGGAACGAAGACTGCCAAGCAGGCGAGCAGTGGTCGAAGAAAGGGGGAAGAGGGCGAAGTCCCAGCCCCTCGCGATCTCAAAAAAGGCGCTCGACGACAGTAAGTGGAAGAAAGACGCGTCTCCCAGACGCATCTCTCGTGTTATTCCCGTCGTCGAGGGCGTTTGTCGAGACCGGTGGATGCTGAGTTGTTACTGTTTATCGCGATAACGCCATTAAATGCTAGTCACGGCTATCTATTAAATCACGCAATGTCTCCAGACTATGGGCACAAGGAATAGTCGGTCTAGTCCATACGGAATGGAACTCTCACCTTTGAACAAAGCACCTCGGCAGTGAGCTCATGGCGGCGCTGGTTCGACGAAGTATGTTGGCTGACCGTTGGCGAGTATGACGGATTTCATACGTGGTCTTGAGCAGAGCAGCTTTTTGATGTTCGGTGAACGTCGCGTGTAGACGAGGAAGATAGAATAACCGAGGGAGATCGCGTCGAGTTTCGAATCCTAGATGTGGGCGGATTCCGACGAGCGGTCAAAGAAGCATTCCTGCCTGCGCGTCGTCCACGCGCGAAGTCATTCCGTCTGTCCATTTTTCGCCTGGAGTACATGTATTGTTGCGACCGCGGCATACCAAAAAGTAGCAACTTGCATGTTTCGGGAATATGCGCGGAAAAGTGTTATCGTTTCGGGTACGAAACGTATAATTGAAATGATTCATTTGAACTTGTAAACGATGAAACACGATTGGTATCAGGTGTCAGGTGTGCTGTTGAAAGACAACACCGCTGCAATCAAAAGCAACAACATAATCCTGGCATGGAATACAGACACGAATGTATATGTGCGGATGTTGGGGTGTAAGAATACGCGCTGTAAGGGTCAGTACGTACTTCGGAGTAGCATTTTACTACCACCGTCTCTACTGCGAGTCTATTCGATATACTCGTAGCACAGCATGCGGGTAGTATATTGCGTATACATATGCGGGTATGGCAGTGACGAACTACGGAGGAACAACAAGTTTCTTTATGTTTTCCTTGGGAGTGTGGTTGATCGGTGGAGATTCATGAAGATTCGTTTTGGGTGTTTGAGCGTTATGAGTGACTTGATGCCGTGATGGAATGACGAGCTCAAGCACGCCCCCGATGAATACAACACATTGACAACACGTTTTTCCACACGTCTGTACGACTTTACCTACCCCTACGGCCCGTCATGGCCGAGCTGCTCTACACTCCCATCACACACAACTGAGCCACCCGCATTATCGATCACGCTAGGTACGAGATGCCCGTGCGGAATTGCTTCGCCGTCGGGAGGAGGAACCAAAGAATGGCGCGGGGCACGCGTTCGTCGCTTCCGGTGGCATCCGGGGCGATGGACGTGTGTGTCCAAAATGGGTCGAGTGGAAACGGCGGGGGACAGGACGGAGACGGAGGCGCCCGGAGTCGGAGCAGGAGCAAAGGGAGATGAAACAAGAAAGCAGGAGAGAGAGGAGCCGACAGCGACCACTGCTACCTACATCCGCACTTGTCCCACACCAACGCCCAGTGCCACACTCAACGCGACCGTCAGAAGAAAAAGGAGCAACAGCAGTTTCAGCCGCAGCAGCCGCAGCAGCTGCAGCAACACTTCACCCATGCCCCTCCCCAGTCGCCTTCTCCCGGAGCAGCAGCTTTTCCGCCTGGGCATCTGCACTCCCTGATGGCACACTTTGTGTCCGCTGACGAGATGAGTTCGCTTTCGGTTTCGAGTGATGTAGGCAGTGTCGCATGTGGTGATCTTGGTTTTGCTTTGTCTGCCCAGAGTTGCGATTACAGTCCTGGTAGGGAGGTATTTTGGTCGGATAGCGGTGCAAGCAACCATTTTGTGAGGAACAGCTCCAAAATGCACAACATCTCGCCTGTTTCCCCCGGCAAAGAATGCATCAGAGTAGGCAATGGTGCTCATTTGCGCGTGGAGTGTGTGGGTAGTGTCAATCTGGCATTCCATATGGCAGGAGGCCGCTCGGGAGAAGTGGATTTTTGTGCCCAATTGACAGACGTGTACGTAGTGCCAGGAATTTCGTTCAACTTGTTCTCCCTGCACCAAACGCAGAAAAAGCACAGGATAATGTTGGATGAGAGGGGTGTGCACCTTTCGGCGGTCGGCTTAGTTTCGCATATTCGGATATCGGATGGTCTCTATCGGCCACCCGCTTGCCCCCCTCGTACCGCGACGGTGATGTAATCCCCTCTACCGTTGTCCCTCCCCCCGTTGTCCGCTAAGCGTCTCCGCCTGGCGTTGGCACTGGCCTATTCGCCCAAAACCCCC